CTTAAAATGCAAAATAAAATTCTAACAAATTTATAAATTGGTTTGCAATGTATCCGAATAAAAACAAATATGAAAAACTCATTACTCATTAACATCCTATAACCTTACAAATTATGATAATAGAACAATACTAAATACATTTTGAATTAATTTGATTAGTAATAAGCCACCAAGTAATCATTTCATCATCATTATTATTATTATTACTATAAAAGCCACTGCCTACTGGCTACTATATAACTATGAGAACTTGACAAATTAAAAAAATATTAAATATTAGATAAACAATACATCAATAGTATGACTATAATATATTGAAACCATCCTCCAAAATAAAAGTGATTACCATTTTTATAGCTGGTATATATTAAATTGCACTAAATGCATAATCCATGGTGGAGCAGTTATAAAAGTTCAATTTTTTTTCTAATATTGAGRTAAAAATTCAAAATTTGTAACTATACTCAGACAGTAATTAAAAATAAGATGTTCAAGTTTTATATTTTTTTATAGGAACTTACAACTTTCAGTAAAATAATATATTGCTTGTTAGCTACTAACTTATAAATTAATGTTTCATTAACTWAACTAAGACCTAGATTTTACGTAGAATTAAGGTTTCAGGTTTAAACTGAAATTATCTGAAAACAGTTTTATTTTCGAATTTGTATATAAAAGTACATACAGAGATACATTGATATCACTTACTAGTTACTCACTCACGTGAACTGAGGTTCCATCAAACCTAAATACACCAAGCACCGTATTTTTTTCCGCACCTAGTCATGTAGTCAAGAAAGTCAAGTTATACAGTTAGTATAATAATTAATAATATTTGTTTAATTAATACTATTTTAACTTATTGAGATTTGCTCATATTAGTGTAAAATAAACAATTTAATATGCATTTTTACAATTTACTACATTTAAATACAAGCCCCAAAAAAAATATCTAATTATTAGAATTTTTGTAATTTTTTGCTAAGAAAACAGGTGGATTAGTAAAAATAAATATTTATTCATTAACTGATTTTTACTTTATTATCATTAATTAGAACATTAATACATTTTTAATTCAAATTTTAATACCAAAAAAGAYTAGATTAAATAAAGTAATACACTTATTTTATAAACAATTGCTATTGAATAACAAAAACATTTTTTGTATAATAATATAGGTTTGGAAAAGATATGTGAGAATTACTTTAAACAATTCTTGTAAATACATTACAAAAAAAAAAAAAACAATACATATGAATGAGAAATTATTTTACAGATAAGTAAACAAAAAAAAACAATTTATTAAATCTGTAAAATATTATTATACATTAGCAAGAGATCTAATATTAACATTTTATAATAATACATTATATATATATAACATTTATTTGAAGCACATATTATTTAACACGAAAAGTTAAGAATTACATACTAATGACCATGTTTAACCTGCAACAACTTGTGAGGAACCTGCAATGTAGTAAATATTGAATTGTTAAATGTGTATAAATATAAGTAACAATTTATAAATCTATTTGACTGCTTAGGAAGTTATCAATATTATAACACAAATAATAAATTTAATGTTGTTTATATACCTATTATTTCAAGAATTTAATTTAGTTMAAAAAAAAAACCCTGAAATTATTACGAACTACAGTTTAAAATGTTTTTTCTATGATTTTTTATTTTTTTTTGCCACGTAAATGTGATTAATATATAGTTCAGTCTAAGTATGACATATTTCATTTTAACCATTACATTGTTTAGTACATTAAAAGATAATAATAATAATATTTTTATAGTAATTTGAAACATAAATTATTTTTTCTAWATACCTAGATAAAAACGATGTATATTGTAACATTTTTAAAATTATTATAAAATATATATTATTTAATTTATGCAGATTGTTCTATGAAAAAAATTAACAACTAATATTCTCCAATACAAAATTAAATTCTTTAATGGTTTCTATTTCTTTTTAATTACAAATAATGAACTCACCTTATTGAAATCAATGAAATACTAATTTGATTATGTGCTTCTGAATGTCCATATTATTTTAATGGAAAACGCATGATATTACTAATATCCCCAAAAACTCTTCTACTTGGTAAATACAAACGTCTTCGTTCAACATGTTTATGATTTTCTTTTTCTGATCTCATGTATGATACATAAGATTTTTTCTTTCTTTTAGCTGATGGCGAGTATTTTATTGCATTACTCCATGTTTTAGATACCATAGACATTGCTAAAATATCTTTTCCGTGCAAAAATGAAAATATTTTCTCAGTTACAGTAACAAAATTATAACGTTTTGATAAATAATACATAAAATCTACTTTTTTCTGATCTTCTAGACTTTTGCGTTTATGATAAATACTTTTATACAAATTAACATTTTTACTATTTAAAAATTTTAAATCGCATTTAGTGCATTGATTTGTTTGATGCATTTGCATTTGGAAACAAGAARTTATACTTAATTTTTTTGAAGATTCTTGATTGAAAGATAATAAAGGAGCACTAATAGCAACTGGATCTTTTATCTTGGAGCTGTTTTTTAATTTTAAAACACTATAGTCTAAATTATGAGTGGTCGAAGATAGTTTACAAACACCAAGATCTGTTGATGTACGATTACAAAAAATAGGAACTAAAGATGAATCATCATAAAAATTGGRACTAGTTGTATGKATGAATCTGTAATATGTTGATGTGGAAGTGAAGGACTTGTCAACACTGAGAAATTCTTCATAAATGGTATTAGACATTTTTTATTTGTGATATCTAAAATAAAACAAATATATATATATATACATATAAATATTAAATATCAAAA